TCCCCCCCACAACCTGTGCCCTGCCCCGCAGTCATGGGCTCTGTCCATAGGTCTGTGCTGGAGTCGACTCTGGGGGTACAGAGCTGCTGCTCACTGGGTGCACACAGTACAGACCGAGCTTGGGAGGTGACCGTTTGCTCCACCACAGCTCAGTCCAGCTGCAGTAACACTCGGCAAAAAGTGCCTGGCAGCCAGGGCCTGCTGCATCGTGTACGCCCAGCCTGGTTTGGCCACCGGTTTTGTTCGTGCCGAGGCAGGGGTCCCAGGGCCCAGGCCCAGCTGGTCCATGTGTTAATCTGCCTATAAGTGCAAATATAACATGTTGTTAGCCCCAAAGCCATTAGAGTTCAGTGTATGTCTCTCATTCAGATTTGGAAAACAAAATCTAGATTATGCAATTGAGATCAAACCAGATCAAATATAACTCTATTGAAACGTGTGCTCATTTTCTAGTTTATATATTCAGTTTAAAAAGACACAAGGAATCGGGCAAAACTAGTTCAAAGATAGTGTTTAGTGGATAGAGTTTGACGCATGTCTGTCATTCAGATTTGGACAACAAAATACAGATTATTCAGTTGAGATCAAACCAAATCAAATATAACTGCACTAGAATATGAGCTGATTTGCCAGCTTATATACATAATTAAAAAAGATAACCAGGAACTAGGTAATAATAGTACAAAGATAGTGTTTGATTAGTCCTGTGGCCATTAGAGTTCAGTGTATGCCTCTTATTCAGATTCATGAACAAAAATGTCACCTTCTTGAGTGTCTTGGCAGTGCCTCTAATACTTGCTGCCAGTCATTTCCACATATGAGTTAAGGTTCACCTGAGTTTACACAACCACACCTGTGTGAAGTTTTTAAGCTAGAACTGAAAACAGTTTGTAGGTCTGGGAAACAGAAGAGAGACATGGCCAAGACTGGGTAACAGACAGCAGCTTTGCAGAAGAAAGGGTTACTCCATTAATGTCAAGACCATTAAAAAGGAGAGAGGGTTGTCAACACCTGGGGAGTGGAGAGAGTAACAGGAATCACGGAGATGATAAAGAGCTGTGAAGTCAATGGACTCAGGCAACACTGATTAGAAATGCTGCTGTCAGTCCTGGGCAATAGGGTTTAAAGTCTGGGTGGAGCAGAAAGCAAAGTGGGATGTGACTACTTCAGTGCTCCCCTGAGATCACCCCTGGTACCAGACAATGACAATCCTGGCCCTGCTGCCTTCCCTGGTCCATGTCCTGCCCGGATGTCTCCAATCCCCTCCAAGGGCAGGTGCCATGGAAAACAGCTGCTGGAACCAGCCGTCAAGCCCAGGCCCTGCTCCTCTACAGTGACGAGGCAGCCAAAAGAACCCAGGCATCCAGGGGCTGCAGATCTCATTGTTACCCCTCCTTGGGAATCCGGAGGTGTCCTTCTCTGGCAGCTAGATGCCGCTCTCCCCACCCCCCTGAAGCTGGGAACCCAGGTGTCCTGAGCCTTCCAGCCCCTAGATCGTCTTGCAAGGAGACTTGTGCCCTGAGAGCTCCTAAACTCCAGATGAAGAAGAGTAGTGGATTTGTTTCCCACAGGCATCAATCCAGGTCTTCTCAAGGGGCAGTGTGGAGCTGAGCGCAACTCAGATCCACCTTCAGGCTGCTCTACATGGTGCTCCCATCCAACTGGGGCCTGGCCCCATCATTAGCCCTGCCTTTGGGCTGCATTGGCACCAGGCTGAGGACAGAGCCCCAGGCTGGTCCCAGCTAGGCCAACGAGATGTGACACTTAAAGAGGGGCTTGATGGGCTGAAGAGGCATTTTTAGCTCAGAATGCGCCAGTCTTTTCCCCCCCGGGGCACGTTCCCCTGTGACCTGCTGCAGAAAACTCTTATGGGCTGGGGCAGGTGAAGAGATCTCTCATTTGAATAAATCTGCTCAAATATATTATGCAAATAGATGAGGACTTCAATTCATTATGCACATATATACAAAGGGAAGAGGGAATGGAAGCAGGGGCAAACCCAGTGGCAACACCCCTGTGGCCTTATGAGCTGGGGTGGGTGGAAAGATGAGCTCATTTCCATAGATCTACTCCACTGTATTATGCAAATACATGGGCATAGTTGAATATATTATGTAAAAATAGGCAGAGAGGGAATAGAAGTAGGAGCAAAGCCAGTAGCAACATCCCCATGGCTTGCTAGAGGCAGCTCCTGCGAGCTGGGGAGGGATGAGCTCATTTGAATAGATCTACTTGAATATATTATGCAAACACCCGGGTATCGAACTATATTATGCAAAAATTATGCGACTATATCTGACTATATTATGCACAGTATGCTAATAAAGAGACCAGAATCCGGGGCAGGAGCAAACCCAGCAGCAACACACGGCTCGGCGACCCAAGCTCCTCCCCGGGGCGGCTCCAGCCCGGAGGAGGCGGTGGTGCAGGGACTACGAGCCCCGGCCTGCCCCGGGCTGGCGAGCGGAGCCGGCGCTGCAAAGCGGGGCGGGCTGGGCTCCGTCCCTCCCTCGCTCCATCCATCCATCCGGCCGGCAGGTAGGGCTGGGGAGGGCGCACACCCGGGCCGGGAGCCCGGCGCTGGGTGCGGTGGGGCTCGGCCATCAGCCTCCCCCTTGGCTGCTAGGGGGGCGAGACAGGACCTGGGGGTCCTGGGAGCAAGCCCGGGGATGATGCGTCCGGGAGGGGGTAGAAGCATCTCATCCCACCCTAGCTGGTTCCCAGCCCTCCCCCCACACCCCCATTTCCCCCTCCATGGACCCCATCACCCCTTCAGGTAGGGTTGCCAATCCTCCAGGATTGCCCGGGAGTCTCCAGGGGTTAGAGATCAATCCCCAGGAAATGCTGAGAGTCACCCAGAGAAAAATGATAGGGCATCCATTAAAATAAATACGAAATGTTGAATCTGATTTATACAGTTGTCAGGTTTTTACAGGGTTGTTAAATTGTAGTAGTAATGTGTGTTTGCCTTCCTGATGTAAGGTCATTAATGTCATTACATCATGTGATAAAACCTCCCAGAATAGATTCAAACAGAGTTGGCAACCCTACCTTCACAGACAAAGCGTCCCCTCTGGCCTCCAGATCCAACTGGATCCCTCTTTCCTCCTCCTGTGTCTCTCCCATTGCCTGTTGCTTCCTTGCTTCCCTGCTTTCTAGCCCCCTGAGTCTACTGTGGGGATGTCCCAGGCTTCTGGGTTTTGCTGCTTGGGGGGGTGTTAAGCCTCCCTCATTGGCATGGGGTGTGGGCTGTCTGCAACCCAGGGTGGAGATGGTGACTGGATTGTGTCAGTGCTGGGACTCAACCTGGGAGGGTCCTGGCTAGAGGGTTCCGCCTCTGCTCATGCTCAGATGGATGCCAGATTTGGGGTCACAAAGGAATTTCCCCCCCTGGTCAGATTGGCATGGATGTGGGGGGGGAGGGGGCCTGCCTTCCTCTGTAAAGGGAGTATGGCCTCTGCCTGGGATCTCTGGACTGTATATTAACAACGTTTTGCAGAAACAGGGCATTAGCTGGTGAGGTCCCCCTGCTTTATCTGTGGCAGGTTCAAGTGCGTGTCTGATGCTATGTGAGGGCCGAGGGTAGTTTAGCTGAGAGGGTGGACAATTGATTTGTCTGGGATGGTTTGGACAAGGCTGATCCTGTCTCAGGCAGGCGGTTGGACTAGATGTGACCTCTGGCGGTCCCTGCCAGCCCTGCTTCTCTGCGAGTGTGCATGCAGGACCTTGGACCCCTTCCCAATGACATTATACTGAGATCTTCTACTACAACGTGTTAGGGGTTTTTAAGCCTAATTCAGAGGCTTTGGGTGGTGGCTGCAGCTGAGGCTGGGGATGGTGACTGGGTCACGCCAATGCTCCTGCTGGGACTCAACCGGGGGGGGGGTCCTGGCTGGAGGGTCTTGCCCCTCTGCTCAGACTCAGACAGAAGCCACACTGTGGGTCAGGAAGGAGTGTTCTTCCCTGGTCAGATCAGTATGGACCGTGGAGGGTTGCCTTCCTCTCTAGTGGGGGCACGGCCTCTGCCTGGGATCTCTTGAGCATATATTAACACCCTTTTACAGCACCAGGATGTTGGCTGCCATGGCTCCCCTGCTTTCTGTGTGGCAGGTTCCAGCGTGATGCTTGGTGTCATGCCAGGGCTGATGGTCCTTTAATGTAAAGTTTAGATGACAGCTTTTTTTTTCCAAGGCAAGTGATTCTTCCCCCCTATTCAGCGCTGGTGAGGCCACATCTGGAGTACTGTGTCCAGTGCTGGGCCCCTCTCTCCAGAAAGGATGTGGCCAAATTGAAGAGAGCCCAGGGGAGGGCAACAAGACTGGTTTGAAAGGAGCAGGACTGATGAGGAGAGGCTGAGAGAACTGGGTTTGTTTTTTCTGGAGAAGAGTAGACTGAGAGCGGGTTTTAATAGCAGCCTTCAACTCCCTGAAGGGTGGGCACCAAGAGGATGAAGAGAGACTGTTCTCTGTGGTGGTAGATAAGAGGATGAGGAGCAATGGGCTCCAGTTGCAGCCAGGGAAGTTTAGGTGAAATACCAGAAAAAACTCTCTCCCTAGGAGGGTAGTGAAGTACTGGAACAGGCTACCCGGAGAAGTGGTGAAATCTTTATCTTTGGAGATTTTGAAAACCCAGGTAGACCAAGCCTTGGCTGGGATGAGACAGCTGAGGATGGTCCTGCTTGGAACAGGGGTTTGTACTGGGTGATCTCCAGAGGTTCCTTCCAGCCCTAATTTCCATGATTTTATGATTCATTTGGGATGGTTTGGATAGGGCTGATCCTGCCTCAGGCAGGGGGTAAGTCACTAGATGACCTCTGGACGTCCCTTCTAGCTTGATTTCTCTAGGATTTTGTGACTCTCACCATTTCTTAGGCTCTGCCTCCTCCTGAATAATCCCAGTCCTTTGCTTTCACCCCTTCCTCCCAAATCCCAGATCAGATTCTCCGTGAAGCCCCCATGATGCTTGGTTAAACCCAGGAGGTGACTGTTTAAGAACCAGACAACCAGCTTCATCTAATGGTTCTGGGTTTTGATTTACAGGCTGGAGGGCCACCTGAGTGGCAATTAATTGGAGAGGGATTGGATTTCTTAGGAGGTTCCCTTTGTTGGCAACAATCTGGTCACTGGGATAGAGGTAGACAAGCTTTCCAAGGCAAGGCATTGTTCATCAACTCTCACTTAAAATTCATTCAAACTCACCTTGGTTGTCTGTGGGGCAAAGTGTTAATTCAGAGTCTTCAGTGGGACAGTGAGTTTGTAGGATCCCAGGCTAAAAGGATCCCAAAAGGGATCAAAGGATTCTAAAAGGATCTGTAGGACCCCAGGCTAAAAAGGATTCCAAAAGGGATACAAGAATCTTAAAGGGGTCTGTAGGATAAAAGAATCCCAAAAGGGATCAAATGATTCTGAAGGGGTGTGTAAGGTCCCAGGATAAAATGATCCCAGAAGGATACAAGGGTCCCATATGGGTCTATAGGATCCCAGGCTAAAAGGATCTCAGAAGGAATACAGGGATCCTAAAGAGGCCTGTAAGACCTTCAGATAAAAAGATCCCTAAAGGAATCAAAGGATTCTAAAGGGATACGTAGGATTCTATGCTAAAAGGACCCCAAAGGGATAAAAAGATCATAGAGTCATAGAGACAGGCTGGATACAACCTTGAGAGGTCACATTGAGCCCAACCCCCTGCCTGAGGCAGGATCAGCTCTATCTAAACCATCTCAAACTAATCCATTGTCTAACCTCCTCATAAAACTACCCTCAGCTCTGACACAGGGCCAGACATCACACCCAAACCTGCCACAGAAGGCAGGAGGACCACAGTGGCCAACATCCTGCTTCTGTAAAAGGTGTTAAGACATGTTTGAGAGGTCCCAGGCAGAGGCCATGCCCCTGCTACAGAGGAAGGAACCCCCCCACTCCCCCCCCCAACCAGTCTGGACCAGTCTGACCAGGGCAGAGATTCCTTTCTGACCCCAATATGGCATTGGTCTCAGCCAGAGTGAGGGGCAAGACCTTCTAGCCAGGACCCTCCGGGGTTGAGTCCCAGTAGGAACATTGGCACAGCCCTGTCACCATCCCCAGCCTGGGCTGCCACTAACACCCCATGCCCCCCTGAAGCAGAAAGTGAGGGAAGGGGGCAACCAGCAAAGCCCAGAAGCCTGGGAAATCCCTATAGTAGAACACAGGCACTGTGACACCTAGATCATCCCTGACCAGTGTCTGTCCAACCTCTCCTTGAATCCCTCCGGTGATGGAGAGTCCACAGCTACCCTGGGTGTTGATTCCCCTGCCTCCCTGCTCTAACAGGAAAGAAGCGTTTCCTGAGTATGCAGGAGGCAGCGGGGAATAAACTGCCCTGTAGGAGGGACTGAGAGGGGTATTCTGGTGGAAAGGGGCTGCACAGAGACCTGACAAAGACTGGGGGCAGATTGGGACTCTACCTGGGATCCAGACTCTCCCTCGTACCCAACTCCTGTCAGCAAGAGATACTCCTTCCAAGTGATAAGGCTCAATAAAGAACCCAGGAGTCATAGTTTCTTTCCATCCTCACCCATAGCTCAGAATTAGAACCCAGGAGTCCTGCAATTGGGGTGCTGCTTTGCTCTGGGCCTCAGTTTGTCCATCCATAAAATGGGTGCAGTTAAAATTCTCTGCCCTCTGCTTTGGCCTGAGGAAAACCTTCAGGGTCAAGGGCACTAGGGGGCATTTACTGGGAGTCTGTGCATGGGGTT